TCTCTGGCGCGTTTGCAACGCCTAACCATCACAATTCTCTACCCTCCTACTGCCCACTGGCAGGTTGACATGCCCTCATTTTTTATAAGATCCTTTGCCGGTCCTCCTTTTACTATAAGCAACCATAAGTCTTCTCCCAGGAGTAACACTTGACCAGGAATTTATGTGTGCAACCTTTCTTCCAACATGCGATTAACATGCCCATACAAGACTAGCTATTTCGCGCTGAAAAAAAATAATTTCTAGAGGTATTACTTTGACTTTAAATGTCGTTTCTCGTAGACAAAATTTGGTTTTTTTCTAGTTAAACTTTGTTTTGCTATTAAGTTTAAGTTTAAGTTAAGATTAAGTTAAACGATAGCAAAACAATGTTTCATTAACTCAAAAAAACTGACTTCAGGGTTAAATCCGCACAGATTTAACTAAGAAACTAAACAAATTTTGTCGACAAGGAACGACGCTTTAAGTCAAAATAGTATCTCAGACAATTTTTTTCCAGTGCAAATACGAACAAAAAGTTTCCAGGAGATACATTGTTTGGAATGAAATTTACAGAAAATGAATCGAGCATTATTTATCACGTCGCAATAGAGATGCGAACTGTCCGGGATCCTCTTAGCGTGGCAGTGCACTAGATTGCTTTACCGAATACACCCCCTCGGATGAGGGAAGAAAATAAGCTTCCTGCACTGGGGTGGTTTAATAATACACGCATTCGAAAATAATCGCCGAGAATGAGCCCTCGTCATAGAGCACAATGGACAGGTCGTCCTTCACTTTTGTCGAGGCGCGAAGGAGGGGGTTCGGTGGGGCCACCTCCACCATCTAGATCGGAGCGCGTCAGAATCTTAACTTGATTGACGTGACAGCTCCAGTGGCCATTAAAGCCAGAGCGGATCGGAGGAAAATTGGACGGATTTGTGCTAAAAGGAACTATGTCCCACGCAGAACCAATGCACTTAGTTCCGTTTGGCAGAAATACGTCCAATTCTCATTCACGCAGTCGAGTCCGGGTATAAATTTTCGCGACGCAGCTTGTCCTAATGCGACAATTTAAGCCTGCGCAGGCGACCAAAAGATTGTAAATGATATTTATATCGCGTCACCCACGCTTGGCGAATGGTTGCCGGATGATCGCGGAAAAGATGTTGGATGTTTCATCGGGTCCGTTTATGGGAACTTCATCGAAGGGGCCGTTCAAGAGTTAAGTAACGCACTTGGGGGGAAGGGGGCCAGCGTTACGGTGCGTTACAAGGGGGACGAGGGGGATCAAGCCCAGCGTTACCAGGGTGTCTACTAAAACAGGCTGGTCAAAAATAAGTACTTTGACAGTAATTTTTCAGAACATTCTCAAGAAATTCAGTACCTGCTCCTCCAACAGAAAAAGTCCGTACTTTTTCAGTACCTCCATTTAACGAAATTAGAAAATTTCAATAATTTGAAATTGCGACAAAAATGACTAAAAATTAAAAGAAATTTCCTTTAAAAAGAAAAATTAAAAAAAAACCTTTCTGCGGAATTCCCGAACTTTTTTAGTACTTCCGGATCTCCCTTGAAAAATCAGTACTATTTCCAGACTTTCCGGAAAGTCCGGACTTGTAGACACCCTGGTTACGGAACACATTCAAGCCGGGGTGTGACTTTGAAAAAACCTTCTTTCAAAGTCACTTCGAAAGTTTTCTACCCGATCGCTTTTTCTCGTCTGATGCCAATTCTATCTTAAATTGACTTTTTCTTGTTTTTTAATAATACTAAGATATCTAAACCTCACGCTAGAATTATTTTCGACATTTTTCATTCAGCAGGATTCGATTACAATTGCCTTGAAACTCTGGAAAAATTCGAATCTAGAGGCCATCTATACAGCATAGTGATAGGTTTTGGCATCAAAAAGACAGAACGAGACTGTGTGCTGACCATTTTTTCCCCTATCTATCTTTCTCTCTCCCCTCACTTGACAATAAAAAATACATCGTAAGGTTCCGAAAGTCAATTTCCAAATTAAAAGATCCAGGTTTCTGATGAACCGTTGATAAAAATGAATGGTCGCATGCATTACTCATGCTCTGAGATAGATATCTAATTTGCAACAAAGTAAAAATTGGATGGGACAAAACCACCGTTTCGGTATTGTCGTAGTCTTCGTGTGATTGACGGTTCTCCCGCCCCGCCCATTCAGTGGCGTGCCGTGAATTGCGATATATCGATTGCTATGCCATTTAAACCTATGGTAGAGAATCGATCATTAAGGTGTTCGCTGCGAAAACCCTGTCTATCGATCCTTTTCCATAGGTTTAAATGGCATAACAGTCGATATGTCGCAATTCACGCTACGCCACTGCTCCCATTACTTTTCAACTTCATCATGATTCTACTCAACGACTCCAGCTATTCTAAAAGATTTGTTTTAAATGAATTCTTAGAATAGGCGCGATACGCCCCACTCTGAAAAGAGAGTTCAACATCAAATTTAGCCGACTGCCCAAAAACTTAATATTTTACGTGCCACTCTCGTAAAAGATTAGAATTCTCACGATTCAGGGGCTTCCTCCTGATGCAGTAATGCTTTGTATTCTCTCGTTCTGTTTTTACCGCTGAGTTTAATTGTCTTTGTTATCTATGTTTCCCCGATTTCTGGGACCCCTTCATTTTTTTCGACGAACATGTCTCCAACCCTGCTCTGGCGAACGAAAGTTCGGTGTTCTCAATACCCTTGAACAACAATAACTATTCGATCACCCTCAATCCAAAATATATACTTATTCCTAACATGCGTTGTCCCAAATGTGAGGATTTTAGCTCGGTGCAGTGAGAAACATTTGTAAAAAACAGGATAATGAGTTTAATAATCCGAAAAATTTTAACTGTAATGAAAATAATTCAATTTTAAACTATAGGACGCCGGATTCAGATAAAATCAATTGGTCTAGTAAATTAAGATTTACAATATCTTCGCTCCAATTGTGACGATCCAAATCTCTTTGCAGGTTTCGTTTTTTTAAAAAGAAAACCAATCGACGGTTTTTCTTGCACTTTCTTGCGAATCCTCTTTACTCATTCAAACTTATTCACACACAATTTTAGGGAGATATTTCGGTTAATTTTCTTTTTAAAAAAAAGAAATTAAACTGTAAGAGTACGGGGTTAAAGATACGAGATGATGATTTGGACAATATTCCGTAACTTTGGCAACAATGAAGGACAAGGCGGGCGTTTCAACCCATGAACTTGGCAAACAAATGATGACGTCAAACGCACTCACACACACTCCTGCGAGACTATCAACGCGAGAATGATGGATTAACACCAGATTAATTGGCGTTTGTTCCACCGCCATTATGGGCTCCAGGTCTAGTACGGGGTGAGCTCGTTGCGAATCCTTTCTAATCCGGAATAGAAAAATCCGGAGGAGAAACGGAGTTTCCTGAAGCTCCTGCAGAGTTCAAAGCCAGTGGCGAGGCGTGAGTGATCGATAATCGATATTTCTCCATTTGAAGCCATGGTGAAGAATCGATTATTGCGAGGTGTTCGTTGCCAACACCCTATTTATCGATCCTTTTCCATAGGTTTAAATAGCAGATCAATCGATATATCGCAAAGCACGTCACGCCACTCCTTCACTCTTCATGAGGGTTCCCTCCCGGGAAAAGCTTTTTACCGGCATCAAATTGAGCTCACGCGAAATCCTTGCTCGGGTCAAAAGAAAGTCTGCAAAATATTTAACATCGGAGCTCTTGTAGGGCTTAAGAGAACTTACTAGTACCTACACTAGAAAGGCATGCCTCTCAATTAGACGTTTCAAGATTTTTGCTCCCAAATTATTTTTTGAGTGAATATTACTTGAAATTTTGGTACATTGTTTACTGCAGTAGATCTTACCATGCATCTTCCACCGCGATGCATCAATCAGCTATGCGGACTTGCATGGTTGCACCACCGTAAACCACTGCGGGCCAATCATTGAAATTGATAGACAAAGCTGTAGACAAAGAGGACAAAATGTTACGGTGGAATCCTAATAGTGGAAGCGGGTGGTTGCAATGGACAAAGGAGGTAAGTAATAGACTAACTAAGGGCAACCAATAAGAGACCCTTCAGTTAGTCAATCACTTCCCACCTCGGTCTGTGAGAACCACCAGTTACAACCAAGAGGATCGCTCTATCCTCCCTGTGTCTTCTTTGTCTATAGCTTTGTCTATCAATTTCAATTATCAGTCCTCTGACTAAATGAAGGTGGCGGGAATCAAGGTGCTGGTTACCGCCATGGAGCAGGTCTGTCATCGCGGGCGATATCTCGTTGAAATTGAATGGAAAAGCTTGATATCTCGGCCTCGATGGTTGCCGGTAAATGCCGAAAGTTGCCAATTTGTTGTTGTTGTTCATTTGATTTGTTTACAAGCGAAAATTGATCTTTGATAGTGGTCCATGCCTTGAGTTGTTGGAGTGTATTTCAACAATCTGCAGGTTATATTGATAAATATCGTGTTTAGGATCATCGGATTTCGTTAAACGCAAGTTGTCGTTGCTTGTTTCTAGATACAGCGATTGAAAACTGCTTCCATACGCAGGAGATTTGAAAAAGCGTTTTCCAAAATACGAAAATTGCGCACTAAGGAGTGGAATTCATATTTTTTTAAAGGTGACCATCGTCGTTTTTGAATCACTTAACCCTTCAAACTACATTCACACAGTTGTATCTCTAGAGTGTGATAGATCCATTTGGACGTATTTCTATCAAACGGAACTAAGCGCCACAGGGGGAGGAAGGAAGAGGGGGGCTTGGATTGGCGGGTGTTGCGGAACGCGATGCTCGTTCCGTCCTATATTTGCGATGCTTTTCCATGGCGCTTAGTTCCGTTTGACAGAACGCGCTATCCGGGATTCTAAAATCCTCAAAAGGAACTCAAATTGGCGCTTAGTTCCGTTTGACAGAAATACGTCCATTTATCAGTCAATTATGTACTATCCAAATGAATCATCGAAATAAAGCGGGCACTTACGTTCGAAAGCTGAAGAAATCGAGGATCGAATTTAATTGGCGCCCCTTCATCTCTGCTGCCTGCAACACGGGTAACTTTTAAGTAGGAATGGTTGTGTCTACGGTTTGTCGTCATTATGGTGTCACGTTCGTCGATGACCGATACTGACGAACGGTGCTGCAAAGGAGAAAAAAAGAAGCATGTTAATCATAGCACTGTCTCATTTTGCTACTTGCGGCTAGTATGAAGGTTCACGATCAGGAAAAGGACCAAGGTGATCAAAATTGAGTTAAGGTTTCATTGTATAGGGGAGTATTTCACAGAAGTTACGGCACAAAAACATCCAAATATTTAATCAAGCCAGTGTGACTCGAAGTGTTCAGTTAAAAAAGCGCGCTTTCCAAAAAAAATGTAAGCAGGGCGTTGATCGCTCATGAACAAGGATCAAATCCATCGGCATAAAAAATTAACTAAACGGCTTGCACTTGAATATATTCGGTTTATAGGGTGTATGCGGTAAATGTGGTATACGTGGTAATATGCTTCCAGGTAGAAAACTCAAATTTCGTTTTGCATACCAAATTAGACGAAAATTACTCTCTTGAAAAATTTACTTCCATGCTCCAAGAACTGTTCACATTCCTTTTCTTATGGGCGGTTACACAAACAAAAAATAAAATTGAAATAGTGGGATTGATCGACACAGCGGAGTATCTTCAAAGACACCAAACAATTGTCGTGTCTTTTCTCAGTTTTCCTGACTTATTAAATATTCGTCAGCTTACTTATTAGCTATTATCTCAACGGAGAAAATGACAAAAATTGAAAATAATTACACATCAAAACTATCTACACATTGAACAATCCCTGAAGTGGACTACCGGGCAGAGTAAGAATTTAACTACCACCAGTAATATTTCCTTGTCAACATTTTACGTGTACTTAACACATTAAACGTGCCGACCATTTTCCAACTATTCCCATGATACGTAAAAGTGGCGCGGCGTGCTTTGCAATACATCGATTGCTTCCCATTTAAACCTATGGAAAAGGATCGATAAACAAGGTGTTCACAACGAACGCCTTAATAATAGATTCTTTACCACAACTTCAAATGGAAACTTCATACTTCAAACTCAAACTCAAACTTTCAACTTCAAACTACTTGTGAATAAATTCATTTACGCCTCTCCACTAAGATGTAAACAATGCCCCTCGAAATTTCTCTGTTTTGAACTTCGGCCGATTCTAAAGACTTCGATCTTGTATCAACGTAAACTCGGCCAAAAATTCAGTTACACTTGGCATCAACCGGCTTTATCCACTCTGCAAAGGCAGGAAGATCACCAACTCCCTGATAATTTTCTAATTATTTAATCAATACTCTTACGCCCCGTGATTTTGAAAAGAAGTTCATATTTGCTAAGAATCTTCCGAAATATTGTATTCAGTCTGATAACGAGGAGTGGGCGTAACACCTCGCAATGAGTTGCCCCGTATTTTAGCTGGGGCGCTAAGATACGCTGATTGAAACTCCGACTCATTGAATGAATGAAGGAGCTTCATTCATCAACCTCGTGAAGTGAATGAAAAGTTTGTTGTAAAAATGACGTCTAAAGCGAGGATTCAAGTTGCTCTCACTTCAAATCTTCTACCTTTTCAGTATGAATCTGCTGTTTCAGCGATGATTTGTTTACCTTCTCAAAATCTATTCCTTCGTCAATTAATCATTCTCCTCATAATTTGAAAGCAACCACAGCCTAAGCTGAAGGATCAATGACTAACTTTGTGGAAGCGCACTTATTTTTGTTGAGATTATTTCTGATGGTATATGAACTTTTCTCTTCAAACCCGAAGATATTCAAAGTTAGACAATTATGATTATTTTTTTTTTTTTAGAAAAAACGGAGTTCTACATCGAACCGCTACTTGACAATTTCTCATTCTCCACCAGTTTTCAACACCAAATTTTCAAAATTCTTTACATTTTCTTTTATTTTACTGCTTTTCACTATAAGTATTCCTGCCTGTGCTGCCACGCTAAGGAAAAACACCGTATGAGCCTTCTGACGTTGCCAAATTTTCTTTGATAAAATACGAATTTTCAAGAAAATCTGAGAATATTTTTCCTCCAATTTTTCAAAAAATTTTATTCGCGATCAGATCTCAATTACCTGAAAATTTCAGGAGAAAGTATTCATAACTCTTCTTAAAAATAAACATTTTATTGGAGGAAATTTGGCGACTCTTGAATGTTCATACGGCGTTCTCCGTTGGCAAGGCAGTGTATATCGTCACCTTCCAGGCAAAGTATCACAAGCGCCATGTGACGTTCAAAAATTTCCGCCGCCATTTTATTTTTTTACAGAAAAATTGTTCAACGAAGCTGTCCGAAAATTTCACTGAATTTTCTTTGTGCTGCCGATAAAATTTAGTGAAATTTCCAAACAGATTTAACCAACAATTTCTCAGTAAAAAAATATAATGGCGGCGGAAATTTTTAAACGTCGCATGGCGCTTGTGATACTTTGCCTGGAAGGTGACGATATATGCGCACTAATTGTAAGTTTGAAGTTTTCCTTGGCTTTACGAAGAAGGCCCATGAGTAACCTGATAATTTTAACACAACGGTATTTCTCTAACTCGGAAGCTTTCGACCCAATGGAAATTCTTAAAATTTATACTATTGCCAACTCAAGAGATAGATTTCTTGAAATTCATACTGTTGCCAATTTAAAGATCCTATCAAACCGTAACGGAACTGATAGAAGACGGCGAGGTTCACTGACCCAGAATCAAAGGTGCATTAATACGCGAAATCACCCCTCTATTAACTCTTAGCTCCATCGATGCACGCCAAAGTTCACCAAGTCCTCTCGTGACTCACCGGGTGGTGCGAAGTTCGAAGCTGACACATGCCATACACGGTTGCTGAAATCAGCGGTGAAATTCAGGAGCCCCGTTATGATCCCAAGGATAACTTATGACTTATCGGCGACCTGACAACTTTGTTTCGTCCGTCGATGAGTTGATTGGAATGAGCTGTGAGTGTGGGGTTGCTGTGAAACCTGATTAGCGAACGGTGTTGGAACTTGTCAGTTTGGAACTTGCAGTGTTGTAAGTTTAGTATTTAAATTCCTTCGAATTTACTTGGCTTTTCCCGAAAAATGCCTGACAGTGCATGCATCAACTTCTTTACTTTCTCCGACCTCACCGAAATTTCTGACACCGTAAGTCAAAAATCTGACTGTTGCCTGCTTTTTACTTGCTTTCTTTATTCTGAAATCTTTGAAAGCATACGCTAAATTGGTTTTTCCTGGCTTCACGAAAACAAATTTCAGTAACGTGCGCCCAAATTGATCCAGATTTTCGGCAGTTAGGAAAAATTGCCCTCGGGCGCTAGACTTTAAAAAAAGCTCGAGATGAACAGAACTAATCAACTTGTGGGATAGGGAATGGTTTTGAACATTTTCTCTGTTCTCAATGTGATTTTCGTGCGCAGTCTCCCTAGAAAAATAGGATATCGATGGTGAAACTACGAAAAACACGTACCTCAATTTGCGGTGATGCAGACGTCCGCCACGGAGAAAAAAACTTCGTGCATGGGACCCGAAGTTGAGGTTCTTATGGATCTCTGAAGTTTTCGGAACTCGCATCCGAAAACTAAAGGTCCAGCTGCCGAAGTTCGGGTCAGACATATGAAGTACTTGGTACATACCGAAGGGTTCGGATCACACATCTGAAGTATCCGGTACATACCTAAGTGCTTCAGATGTCTGACCCGAACTTCGGCGGTTGGACCTCAAGTTTTTGGATGCGTGCGATCCGAAAACTTCAGAGATCCATATGACCTCAACTTCGGGTCCTATGCACGTAGTTTTTTTCTCCGTGCAGTAATAATTTATTTTTTACATGGAAAATTATTGAACGTCTTTTTTTTTTGAATTTCATTGATTTTTCTTACGTACAGAAATAATATTCTGCGAAAATTTCAAGGTATGATGTTCGTTTTTTTCCCTTTTAGAAAATACAATAGGAGCGGAGCACGGTGGAACAAGTCAGTAGGAGAGGTCGGACAAAATTTGGAAACTTTAAAAGCTCATAACTCTGTTTATACACAATTTTGAGGTTCTAAAAGTGGTTGCATTTGTAAAATTGTGTATAAGAATCACCCCTTGAAATTTAAAATGTGACGAAACAAACATCAAAATTTGCAGTTTTAGTAAAAAAATTCATGTCCAACCTCCCTAATTGACTCGATCCACACGGAGAAAAAAACCTCGTGCGTGGGACCCGAAGTTTAGGTCATATGGATCTCTGAAGTTTTCGGATTGAGCATCTGAACACTTAAGGTCTGGCTGCCAAAGTTCAGGTCTGACATCTGAAACTTTAGTTCTTACATCTGAAGTACTTCGGTTTCCACATCCGAAAAACTTCGGTTCTCACATCTGAAGTACTTCAGATGTACGAACTGAAGTTTCAGATGTCAGACCTGAACTTCGGCAGCTAGACCTTAAGTGTTCAGATGCTCGATCCGAAAACTTCAGAGATCCATATGACCTAAACTTCGGGTCTCACGCACGAAGTTTTTTTCTCCGTGGCACCGTGCGGAGGTTTCGGAACGCCGCAACCGCGATACGGATTTTTACAGTTTAACCACCGATATGCTCAGGTAGCTGTGTGTATATTGTGTGAGCTATTTGAGGAAAACCTGCCAAGGGAAAGGTATTATATGTAGTAATGAGTCCGATTTTTTCAATATGGAAAAACGAAAGCTTCCCAGCTCGTCCCACGTGCGTCTCCGAGCATACCCCTCATTAACGGATCGATTTTTGCGTTGCCGCGACCGGGAATTTTTCACCGGGAGATCGCATCAGCCCACCTCATCGAGATTCCGCGAAAGCTCCGCGAAACCACACCGTCCTTGCATCTCTCATTCTCTCGCCGGCGCTCAATATATTCGCTTCGTTTTCCTTCGTCGTGACGTCAAAGCTCGTCTCGTAAACAGTCGCTAATGGTCCGCGTGGGAGAACATATACGAATGACTCGTTCCATGAAATAGGAGCTAATACTGCCGTGCTAAAGAAAAACGCCATACGAGCTTTCAGGCGTTGCCAAAGCTCTTACGATAAATCACGAATTTCGGGTAAATTTGCGAGTATTTTCCTTCCAAAGTT